AGAAATATTCATCATAATGTAAACATTCCAACTAAAGCAAATCTCCAATGCCTATTTTTCACTTCTGACTTACCTTGCTTAGTAAGAATAAAATCTTCCATTTCTCAACCCCTCCCAAAATCAAATAGCCTTTTCCCCTTAAGAATATTACCATTTAAGACAAAGAAGGCAACTTTTCACTTTGCACATCAACCTATCCAAGACGAATTCAGACAATTCAGTTCAAAAATGTCCAAATTTGTATGCAGGAGCTGAATCCTAAAAGGAGTTGTCCAGGAAAAATCCCATGTTCCCAGTAGCCCCTCTCATCATACAGCCCTCTCCTTTTCTCTCCCTCACTCTTTGCTTATTCTCCCCTTCCAGAGCAGGAATATCTTAGGCTTTTCACATACATGTAAGCATTCCTGACCCTACTTGCCTTTATAGACCTTTCTGATGTACTAAAATCCCCCATTTAGATTGCTCTCTTGTCCAGCTCAAATTTTCCAGAAAAAATATTTGGTTAAAGAATAATCAAAATATAGAAGTACTAATTGCATGTGTTCTAAATAAAACCCTATCTAGTTAGGGCCTGTTTTCTCTGACTTGGTTTACTCAGATCATCTTTTTTGTAACAATTTAGGCTGAGGAAGCACTTTATCAAATTACAAAAAGCAAATTATTTAATCATATGCACATAACTTCATACTAAAATAGATTTTTTTCAGCCTCAGACAGATGGAAACAAATTACTGTATTTCACTGTAATTAGCAAATATTATAAATTCACTGCAATGGCATTTCTGCCCATGGCACCGATTTATAGATTAGAATTTCTTTTACAAAAGCTTTTGCCAACTGAGAGCAATCAGTTAGTATTCAACTCATCAAGCAGTTGACAAAATTAAACCTATCATTAGATAAAAACTTCAAAAATAATTATCCCTCTAACATACATAATTATGTTAGAAAGACCAAAGGTAGGAGCAGGAGCTAGACAATGTTAAAGTTTACCTGCATCAGTCCTCTAGGTCAGACTGCTTCAGAAATACCATCTCCCATTTTGTGCAATTCAAAGGACAGGGAAAAAAAAAAGAAAAAAAAGCAGTGCACCAACAACAATGTCTCAGTAATTTTTTTGAAAATATTTGGAAAGGCCTCACTGATCATATATCAAGCACTTCAAGCAACTCTCTTAAAGCATTTAGCACTGATATTTCCTTCAATTAATACACATCTTTAATTTAGACTTCAAGTAATCATTGAGCCTAAAGCTCCCATGAAAAAATTCTGAGGAAACTCTTCTGTACCTATTCAATTGGCAAACGCATGAAGCGCCCTCTGCTAACTTTCCAACCCTTTTCAAGAAACGATAGCCCATACTTCTCAGAAATGGTCAATTATTAACATAAATAATCCAGAAACATCTATCCAGAGGAAGCACATTAAAGACATTTAACTAAATATTTGAATGTTAAACTCTCAGTACCTTTAAAAAATAATGCACTAAAACTATTTTCAGTAGGTGATTACTGAAAAGAACTATCTCTACTTTCTTGGGACTATTGGCAAGAGAAAAAAAAAAAAAAAGAGAGAAGCACAAAAAATGGAAACTGTCCGTTCTGCTTTTTCATGCATTTCTTGTGCAGTGAACTTGTACTGAAGTATGTTCTACCTCTTAATTTATAAGGTAATTACGTATTAAGTGTTTCATAGCAATAATTTACTTCACTTAGAATAAGCTAGGACAATTCTCCAGACTCTTCCCCAGGCAGAGTTCATTTTTGTAGTGTGCCTGTCCTGAGCTCCAGATATCCACTAGCAAGCCACTTGGGAGCACTCCCTTTCCAAAGTCCATTCTGAAGGGGAATGACTTGCAACTCGTACATTAACATAAAACATCATTACTGCCTTCATTAAGCAACAGTTCTTTCTAATTAATGCTTCTAGAAACAAACCAGTCCACTAAAAATGCCTCTATTATGCAAACTGTATTCATTACTCAACTGTAGCTGAGACATTTGCCATAGAATTGTCTAAATGTCTCCTTAAAACACAATAATAAAGAAACATTCTGGCAAAATAAAATTAGTAACCAAGAACATATTTCCATTTAGATTTTGACATGAGTATGCATCATTTCAGCATAAGGAAAACCAAAAGGAAGATCACTGCATCAGTTATCAACTCTTGTTTCATCTACCAAATTAGAAATTAAAATTTTCTATATATTATTCCAATCTACAGAAATTAAAATGAAGATGAATCACTAGATTAAAACAGCATGACAGTACTTTAGATATGAATTCTACATAAGGGAAAGCTAATATGCAAGTTGGAACACAAACTTCTTGAAATGCTCTTGTATAGTCACCTCCGATAAAGCGCACACATGGCTGAACTCAAATTTTTAAAATTCCTCAAGCATGACATTTCTCTAAGCACTTTCCAATGTCTTCCATATGAATCCATGCAGAAGAGCGGTTCTCATCCGCCAACCTGAAAACTCACGAGATAAATACTTTATTGTTAAGAATTCATAAACAGGTTTGAGAAGTCTATTAATACAAATTCCCCCTAGGATTAAGTTCCTGCTGGTTTTGCTATAAGCAAGGATAGCAGGCGGGCGCAGGAGAGGTGGGGAAGGGCTTGGAGCAGACAACCTCTCAGGGCTTCTTTCAGCCTCAGAGATCCTGTGCAATCTCCCTTCTCAATAGATCGTGTCACTCGACGAGCCAGAGCAGTGATGACACTGTTAGATTAGAACCAGCAATCATGGCGAAGATAGGACAAGCTGAAAAGCCAGTTTTTACTGGAAACTGGAAAAGGCAGAATTCAAACCTCTGTAAAGCATCTCTGTGTGTGGTCTTTTAGTTATAGACACTAAACCTTCCTATTCCAAAGCTGAATCCACAAATCCACCGCTGCTGGACTGTCATCAAAACTCACTTCTAACCATGTATATACAAGTCCCTACTGAAAGTCTGACTTTCTGCAAGCATTGATGGCAATGAAGGGTATCTTGGACAAAGGCACCCAGTGTGTTTTTTAACCAGCTAGTGCAGGCATTTATGAGACCCAGGCTACCCTAACAGAACAAAGCTTAAATCTAGGTATATTTTAAGTATTTATAATACTCATGATTTCTTCACATGCCTTAGCCATGCAGCCACCCTAAACTCAGAGTTCATGCCTCAAATGAAAAAGTAGGTAGGTTAAGGACCAATTAAAAAACCATCAATTGCTACCAAACAGCTACCAAAACAGAAGTATTCATTCCAAAGCACTGGCATAAAAGGATGGACTTCAAAAAAAGAAAAAAAAAAAGTGATCAACAAAAAACCTCTGCAGTTTCAAAAGTAAGTTTTCAAATACTAAGGAAATATCAAAGGATCCAATAGTATACCTGAATCTCCTAGTACCCAGATTTACAACAATGACTTTGTTAACAACAGCCAGGGATAAGTAAATATGAGTTTAGCAGATTTCAGGGAAGTCGCTTAAAACTGCAATTAAAACACTGGACTCTGATATAGAGGTCTAACAGATGATTCGGAATGAAAATTGAACTAGAATATCAGCATAACTTAGAGAATACTGCATTAATTCTTTCTGCAGCACTGTATCACCTTCCCAGGTGCTAAGTTGAAACAAGGAAATAAAATACAAAATAAAATAAGAGCAAGAGCTCAAGCACAAGCTACAAGCCCCAGTTACCAGGCGTAACAAATGCCAGGGAGGAGAGAGGAGAAAGCAAGCTTTAAGTTTCAGTGTTGCACACTTCCCCAGCAGACGGTAAGAAGCACTGTCACTTCCCTTCAGAAAGGGCAATACACCAAAACATTCCAGCAGCAATCTCAGCTTCACTGCTATCTTTCTCTCCACTCCCAAAACTAGAATTCAAGCTGCTCTACAGCATGCTTTAGGACTTTGTAGGCTTAGCTCCTTGACTCCATTTTTTTTTGTCTCCTACTTGTTGGAATACTACTAAACCACTTACTAGTAAATAAGAGATCTGTTTGTAACTCCTGATCATCAGCTGCCGTTACAGGCTGGCAGAAGTCAACTTCAATGAGCACTTCCAGAGTCCCTTGTTAAGCACTACAGAGTCCCAAATAAGTGAAATCTGGAGTAAGCTCAAACAGTTTTTAGGAAGAACTTTAAAGAAAATGATCTGATTTAATTTGTATAAGCACAATACCTGACAGACTTCTAAATGTAAAAATCTGCTTTACTTTTGCAATTCATTTTCCAAAATACTATAATTAATCCAATCACTCCTTTTAAAAACATGCTTTTACACCACTACTGTAAACTAAACATTAGTAGAAAGAAATCTTCTCATTTGTCATCCTCGGTTCAGCTATAATAAACACATTTGATGGATTAACAAAAAGATTAAATATTATTTTTCTACACTTACATACTACATACAGCATACTTGCTAGTATTTCCTAAAAAAACAGCTAATTAGACTTAAGGTTGACTTTTTAGCTCAAAATGTTCACATGATTTCATTACAAATACACTCTTTATTCTTACCAGCATAATACTCAATCTTCTAGCATTAGGCCAAGAGCAACACACATGACATTTATTCTGAGGAAGCAGCACGTGATAGAGTGTTTTCTTTGAAAACACTCCATAAAGGTGTCACAGAACACACAGTAAAGCAAGCATATTTTGCACTAGAAAGAGAATAGCAAGGACTGGATAGATGCTACCTCCTTTAGGAATTCATTGCATAATCTTAGGCTGACCCTAGGGATTCCCTCACCTCAAAAAGCAAACTCAACCACTCCCAGAAGAAGTCTCTAGCATAGCAGAGATGAAAGATTTACTCCAGCTGCAAGTTAAGACACTTGTTTTCTTACTGAAGACTCCCTGACTTGCTCCACAACTCTGCACTAAAGCAATGTAATAAAATTAATTCACCATACCAATATTGTTTTTCCTAGAAGTTTGCAAAAAAAAAAAAATCCTGAAACATGAAAAGATGGCAATTCTGGAATAGCACTTACCGTAATCACAGCCTTGCTCAGACAGATAGAACCTCTGCAGCCATACTCTGTTTCATCTTCAGATTTGTAATAACTGAGTGTGTTGCTCTTGAGAACTACCCATCGATCCTGCCACCCATGAATGTAGTTGGTCCACTGCAAGAAAAAGAGGAAAGAAATGGAGAGGTTAGCTAATAGGAAAGTAATGACAAAACCTCCCAGCTTTGTTGATATTTCTCAAGCTTGAAGTACTAAAAAAAATTGAATGTTTTTGCGCCAATTGAAGACTTTATTGGTGTTCTGCCCATAGCTCCAAAAATTACCTTTGCCAACCACTTATTAAAAATCAGGTTTAAAGAAAAAAAAACAGAATATGTTGCTTCCAATGAAAAATAAGACAACAGATCTTTTCATCACCAGCTGAAAGATATGTTTAAAATACCAATGACCAAAAGTAGATGCATGGAAGAAAAAAAACAGCCACTGTTAAGTGGAGTTTTAGCCTTCCAATTTAGAATCAGGAGTTACACAGCATAAGTATAATACTAAAACTGTCTTTTTTGTTATTAACATTAAAAGATAACTTCAAAGTAAAGATCTTACTCAATTATCCAGCTCTCTTCTTATACACACACACACTTGTCATTACCTCATCAGGTACAGTATATAACAACTATTAAATAACCGATTACTCTAGAAGAGGTCATTTAAATATTGTTCAGAGACCGAGAGTGTGAATACTGGACACAGAGCTGTTGTTTTAAATTTTAATTCAGCAAATGCCCCGTCATCATACTACTGAAATTTTTCTAGTGATCAGGGAAAATTCCAGTAACAAATCCTAGATTCATCACACTTTCCTCCTTTGACACAGTTAAGCGAGGCAAATATAGCAGTCAGAATTTTGCATTCACTGTTGCAATCAAAATTCGCTGTTGCAACGAGAATGTCATGAGTTACAAGACTCCTTAAATATATTGCGTAGAAAAAGAGGTTGTGGTAAACTAGAAGACTATTAGTTCATGCACCTAGATACCTGTCCACCGAGAACAGGTGGTTCCATGTCAAAGTTCTTAGTTTGTATTCACGTTAAAGCTGTAAGTAAAATGAAGGAAAAAAAAAAAAAAAAGAAAGAAAGAAAAGCCTGGAATTTTAAAGTGTCTTGAAAGACCAGTAGGATGAGCTTTTAATAAGCTTGTCTTACAAAGTTATTGCATTTTCTTAAGAACATCTCTCCTTACCAGAGGGCAGCACAGTTGAAACACTGATATACGTTGAATAAATTGCACCCTACTCTTATTGATGCTGAATTTAATTATACACGGATTTTTTTTTTTTAAATAAAATCTGCACAGTACTAGGTCTGATACTCTAGCATTTCATTCTACTTGCCTGAGGTATTACTGAGGACTAAGGTATTACTGGCAAAGGGGAAGATTAGCCCTCAAGAACACGCAGTGCAACAGGTTTCCCCACACTGCAGATGGGAGCCCCTGCGTTCTCACAGCAAAGGCAGCCTCAGCTACAGCAAAACCAGCCAGAAAAGCATGAAGCCTCCACACACATAGCTCTACAAGCAGCCGCAGACCTTCAGAAGCAGCCACGGCTTCACCTACTACTCCTTGAAGGAACAGCACCCACATCTACAAAATATTTAGTTTGCTGACATGAAAACGATTCATATCTCACAAATATCAAAAAAATCTACTGATAAGAATCACCTAGCCAAAGGAAAACTTTGCAGAAGACAGAAAACTAGCAATAAGACCATGGTATTGAGCCAAAACACCACATTTTGGTGGCTGTAACATCCCCCTCGTGCCCGGTCTTCCCTGGGCACTGGGGGACAGGAGCTGGCAGGGGAGCACCGAGCCCTCCTCCTCGGCATTGCTCCCATCCCGGGGCTCAGGAACACCGGGAACCGAGAGAGCTCCGAGCCCCTCGCAACAGCCCGGGCCCTGGCTCCACACTGTTGTTTTCTGCGTGTCCAGGGCCTGCTGGTGAGCTCAGGATCCCATGACCTGCGCGTCCTGCCCCGGCCTTGGCGCGGCCCTGGGATGGGGAGCAGGGAGCAGGGGAGGGCGGCACGGCGGGCGCTCCCAGCGCTCCAGAGGGACTGTGGCGCTGCTCTCAAGTTGCTTGCTACAATACCTGCGCCTACCTATATACACACACATGCAAGCTGCGTACGGAGGACTTCTGCTTCCAAATTATTTATACAAGTACCTTTAAAGTAGTGATAAAATATTTTCCCCGTCCTCGCTTGCAAGTCATCTTATTTTCAGTAAGAAAAAAAGAAAGAAGGGAGGGAAGATAGAGAAACAGAATGAGTGACCCCCCACGCGCTGGGCGAGACGCACTTTTCGGAGGAGGGAAACGCGCCGCCCGAGGCCCTTTTCCTGCCGCCCCCCCGGCCCCGGGAGGCGCCGCGGGCACCGGGGCTGAAGGCGGCGCCGCTGCCGCCGCGCCGGGGGCCGGGGCGGGACGCGACGCGGGCGAGCGAGGCCGCGGCGGGGCCGGGGCCCCCACGAGCGGGGCCGGGGCCGGGGCGGCGGCGGGCGCTGCCCCCGCCCGGGCCGCGGGCTCCGCTGTCATGTGGCGGCTGCCCCGGGCCGCGCTGGGGGGAAGCGGCGGCCGCCGCCGCCAGGCCCCGCGCCGGGGGCACCCACCTTGCTGAGCACCCCGCAGAGCTCCACGGGCAGCCCGAGCTCGGCCTCGGGGTCCTCCTCGGAGCCGGACGAGTTCCAGCTCTGGTTGTCCGACATGGAGGCGCGAGGCGCAGCCGCCGCCGCCGCCGAGCAGGGAAACGCCGAGCAGGGAAACGCGGCGCCCGCGCTGCCGCAGCCTCCTGCCGCCGAGGGGACGGCGGCGGCGGTGCCGAGCCGAGCAGCGCAGCGCAGCGCAGCGCGAGGCCCCGCGCTCGCCCCTCACTGCAGCGCCGCGGCCGCAGCCCTCGGCCGGAGCCACAACACGGAGCGGGCGGGAACGGAGGGAGGGGGCGGCGGGGGAGGAGGAGCGAGCGCGCTCACGCCGCCCGGCCCGGCGCCGCCGCCATCTTAGGCGCGGGGGGGAGGGGGGCCGCCCCGCACTCCTCCTCCCGCCGCCGCGCGCTTTCTCCTGGGAGTTGTAGTCCATCCGCGGAGGAGGCCGCGCGGCCAGTAGGGCGCTTTGGGAGCGCTGCATGCTGGGAGGTGTAGGCCGCTGCGTCGCGGCCGCCATCTTGGTGCCGGTTCCCTGCGGTGCAAAGAGCGTTTCTGCCCTGATCAGGTGGGCAGCGAGTCGCGTGGGGCCGCTCGGGCTGCAGCCTCTCATCGGCTTAGTTTGTGTGGTTTTCTGGAGAGGTGCGGCGTCTCGCGGGTCTTACTCGCTCTTTGGCGCGGGCTGTTGGGTGTGAGGGAGAGACACGACGACTGTCTCGCTCGGCCCGAACCGGCGGGCGCGGCGGGTGAGCAGGCGGCCGTTCCCGTAACAAAAATGGTCGCCGAGGAGGCGCGCGGCGGCCGCAGGAAGGGGCGGGAGGCGCCGCGCGCCCCGGTGGGGCAGCGCGGGCAGTGCCCGTCCCGCCGCAGGGAGCGGGCCCGGCGCCCGCCGGCCGCAGGGGCCGCCTTGTCGCGCCTCTTCTCCAAACTTGTCAACTTAATACCTTATTTTATTATGTTTTCTGCCCCGAGGGGGCTGCGGCGAGGCCCCGTACCCCGCGGCAGGGCCTCCGCGCCCCGCCTCACCGCCGCCGGTAGTTTCGCTTTGCCGGAGCCGGGTGAAAATCGGTGACGGGCGGCCTGGCACGGGCGTGGCCGGTCGCTCCGGGAGCCTTGATTTTGGGACACAGAGTCCTGGTTGTACCTTAGGAGCAGCAGTAGTATAAAATTCTGTTTTCCCTGGCTTCCTCCCCTCTGGCAAATCACTGTGTAGTTTCCTGCCCTGTGCTGCTTGAAAATAGCATTTTTAGGCGAGTGGCTTTTGCATGATGGTTTGGATGATTTTGATACATATAAAAATCATTGAGAAGCTGTTGGTTGGTTGACCAGCTGTTTGCACAGAAACAAAAATATTCTTTCTTGTTTGTTCCAGTGTATTGCATCTATTAAGATGTGTAGTTTCATTTTGTTTGATTTTTAATATATACATGAAAATCTATAGTTCTCCAAGTCGTTCATGGAGTTAAGTGCCTTCACCCTGAAAGGTGGTCGCGTTTACTGCTCTGTGAGCAGGAAGCAAAGAGACATGCCTGAGCAAAGCTCCTTGGTAGCATCACTCATGTAACCAGGCGCTGACATTTTCTAAGGAAAATATTTCATATATTTTCCTTTCATATTCTCAAGGACTGTCTTGTTCCTTTAGTAGTTAGGGGTTTGTTTGTTTTATCTGTAGAAGATAGGTTGGATCAAGTAGGTCTAGAAACTAAAAATCTAAGGGTTGGCATTCTTTCAGGTCCACAGGTTGCTTTACAAATTCATTCTTTTTCAAGAGAATATGTGTTTTTAATGATTAAGTCTAGTAAATATTTTCCACCCAGAACTTTGAGTTTGATGGCTAGCTGTTTGCCTTTCCAGGTTTTCATTTAACACATCCCCTGTTCTAACTAATTAGTTATAACTAATTATTAGTTATAAGTAACTAGTTATATTTTGCATCTGTCACATCTTGCTCACATCATCTTTTCTACACAGTGTTTCCATCTTGTGTTCCTTTTGACATACGTACTGAGATTGTGAATACCCAAAATAATGCTCCTTTCTAAAGTTGTGACCCTCCCTTTTGTGTCAAATGACTAACTAGCCTTTTGTTAAGGCCGTGTCTTCATGGGCAAACAAAGTTGTGCAGTAAGAGCGGGTTTCTGGAAGACTTATTGCTGAGGGCTGGAAGTCTGTCCTATGTCTGCTTTGAGAGGTTTTACTTTGGATTAGCTCTAGTTTGTTCCTCTGGGTAGAAACCCTGTTAACAACCAGTTGTGCTCCAAAAGCTCTTCTTTCAGTTTAGGTTTTACAAGCATGCTCTTTCCCCCAGCTGAAAAGCTGTGGTAGATGACTCGCTCCTCTCTACCTGCTTCTATGTCTTTTCCATGAGACTTGGTTGCAGTTTTCATTCTCTTTCCGGAGCCCCAGGCTTGATTTTCACTTCTGCTAGTGTCTGGAAGAGTCACCAAGGTTTCTGATCGGTACATACTTCTACAGTTACATTTGTTTCTACATTTAAAGCTGTTTTCCTAAGATGGTTCTCAAAGGAGTTTTGTTTATACAATACTATATTCACTAATAGACTCTGAGATATAAGGTATTCCAGAAATTATTCTTTCTCAATTAAAATGCGTAACTGGAAATTTTGGTTAGAAATTAAGATAAACAGAAGCTGCTATTCTAAGGGCTCACTTTTCTGAAGACTGACTCAGATATTTGGATGGCATTGGAGTTTCTGTAAGTCAGTTGCTATTTGTAAAATAGTTGAATGCAGTGGTATTAGCCAGGGTACTCTGAGTTTTCATGTTTGTGAATTCTGGCCTTGTTTCCTGCTCAGCAGCATTCCTGCATCATGTACTTTTGCTGTTTACATTTACAAAAAAAGCTAAATGATTCTTAGCAGGTTCTGTATTCTGGAGAATTAAAACTGTATTACAGAACCAGAGAGGGAGTAGTAAAACAGCAGCAGTTTTTCTGAATGTTCCAGCGGGGAACCTAGATGGTTAATGCTATGGATGTTTACATACTAATCGCATGGTGGGGCAGTTCCTCCTGCCAGCTCTATTCCTGTAACTCACTGCAGGATTAAAACTGACAGGAGTTTGCTTCTCAGGGCTGTTCAGGAACCAAGGCTCTAATAAATATCAACCCCCCTGTGGCTGGAGAGAATTGAGCAGATAGTTCAGCAGGGTGGTTTGATGTGCCTGCTTGCACGTGTCTTTGTTTGTTGGTGGTTTATCCTGCTGAGAAGCAGACACTTTATAGCAGCTGACACTTAAATCATTATCAAAGGAACATGTTTTTACAAGGAAAGAGGAGTTAAGGAGTTTGTTAAACTTAATCCTGTCAACCTTAGTGCCCTTTGCTCAGAAGAGGTAGATTCCTTCCTGAAGGAAAGAGTGTAACATAGAGTTACTGTATTCAGATAAAATAGGCAAATAATGGAGAAATAAAGTATTATGATACCAAATGTAATACTGTAGTATAGGCTTTTGAATATTGGAGATGTTCAAAATATTTTGATATGGTTGAATTATCTTAATATGCTGAATAAAAACTGTTGGGGAATGTATGTCCGTCTGTTCTTGCCTTAGGAAATAGAGAGATAACGCAATGCATGTGTGGGAGAAAACCATGGTTCAGAAGGCCCAGCTCAATTGATGGATTAATTTCTATACCAAGGTAGGTAGTTGAGATTTAGTTCTTTAATGATGGTGCTGGAAACAGCTACATGCACCGCCTTTTTATAGGAGAGGCACTAGGGAGAGGTACCTTGCTAGCTTGCATTTCATTGCCCAGGAGATTTGGGGGTTTTGTTTGTTTGTTTGTTTGCTTTTTTCTCATTGATGCTTTTAGTGTAGTACTAACTTCAGAGGCCCACATAACATAGGGATCTGCATTATACTAAGCCAAATTTTAGCCAGAAGCTTGAGAAGTCATTCATTGTAGTCAAAACTGAATGAAGTATTTCCTTAATCTAACCTGTCTTGTGCTTTCAGCGCATCTGTTTGACACTTGCTAACATTGTGACCTTGTCACAGAAATTAATTGTAACTTTTTTTTTCTACTGTGGTTTACCTAGTGATCAGATTACTGAAGTAATCCCTTCACCTATTTTCAACAATTGTATGTAGTTCTTACAGTTTTGCTTTGTTTTTATTAAAATAGATGTTCTGGAAGAGCTAATAGAAAGGAATGTACAAAATAGATTTTATTCTGCAGAAAATAGGGATTTTGTTTCAGACCCATATTGTAATAAAATGAGGTACCCAAGCTTGATTAAATGTTATGAAAGGCTAAGTTTTACAGAAATTGTAGGAACCATTTAATTGTGATCCTTTCTGTAGCATCGTAAAAATAATTTTAAAAATATGGAAAGGACGCTTGGAATAATTTTGCTGCTTTTTCCAATACCAGATTTTTTGTTTCCGTGTTTGTTTTTTTTTTGTTTGTTTGTTTTACACACTCCAAAGGCTCACTTTGAGCAATAGATGTAAATGATGATTCCTTGCTTGTCTGTAATATGTCACCTAATTCTTACTTTGTGCTTTTGAGAAAGGAAGGTCAGAGGTGGTATATCTTAGTAACTTCTTTGCATCTCACACTATTTCTTTCGCTGGCATAATCATCTTATTACAAAAATGACAGAATTTGTTTTCCATTATGAGAACTAGTATACAATTTATATGCATCAAATCGTCATTTGGTGTAATTCTCTTCCAAGTAAATTCTCTTCAAAGATTTTTCCATACCAGTGACATGGAGAAGTGACATATGGAGTATGTTTCTTTAGCAACTATTAATAAAGCCAAAGTGTTAATAAACTTTAAAAGTATTATTACTCTGCTAATAACATTGTCCACCAAACTGAACGTTCTTAGAAATAATTTTGACTTTTTTCTTTCACATGTATTAGTATTTTTATATAATAAAATGAAGGCATATAAGTTTTTACACAACACAATTTCTGCTGCTGGAATTGCAGCTTTTTTAATGAAGATAGAGTGGAGGAGTGACATAGTAGGAAATAAAAGCAGTTTCTTTCTGGCTAGTTGATTCAACCATTCAAAAAATAATCATTTTTGAATAAAGGTCAGGCATTTGAAAATAAATTGTTGCTCTAATTTCTTCTTTTTTCAGTCTCCTGACTTTTCCCCTGA